AGGGTACAGCTGGCTCTGCCTCTAGATAGGCAGAGCCAGCTGTCACTCACGGAGCTGGGTGGATCCAGACAGTAATGTCGGGATCCGTCCCGGCTGCGGCGTCTCAGTATACCGCGAGCTGTAGCTTGCGGTATACTGAGCTTTGGGTGACATGAGGACGCTAGTTTGTGTCCTCCCGTTACCCTTAGAACTATGGGGAAAAACCCTGACCCCATAGTTCTCCTTTAAAGCTTTGACACTTAATAGCACTTAGCCATTTCACATTTTCCCCTAATTTACTAGCGTTCAATGTGCATTATTGTGTGTTTCAAATGCATGGCATTAAGAAGCCCATTCATTTTGAATAGACTGCAAAGCATCTAAGATGGTGTAAGCCACTATTTTAGCACAACCCACAGGCCATTCACATCTATGCACTGTGGTGCGCTACAATGCATGTGCCGCTAAAGTGAGCTGTGCTAGTGTTGGGGTGCTATTTAAAATCAATGGCACTGCTCCACAGGCATTAGAGTGTGTGCACAGCAGTGTTAGTTTTGTCAAACACTTTCAGTAACAAAAAAAAAACAAAACAAAGTTATGATGACTAAAACTAATGAAAACATATTACATTTTACTTGACCAACTAAAACTAGACTAAAATGTTAGGGAGAGACTATTGGGGAAGAGATCCAATCAGAACTAATCTATTTGGATTTCCTGTTCCATCCTGAATGAACGGCTAATTGGTAATATGTGCAATGGCATTAAAGCCAATATAGTTTTTCATTTTAATATATTTTAGAGTTGTACTTCTGCTTGAAAGAATAAAGAATGTCATATGCAAGCTGTTATAATGAATGCATATCCAAGTACTGGTACTTTGTTGAAAATACTCAATATTATTGTTTCTTTATAAGACTTGGTTTCATCTAACTTTAAGATAGGACACATGTAATATATCACAACAGTTAAATCTGTGTCTGTATTGTATGTTTAAACATTAATACAATAATAACAGGCTAACAGAGGTTTACTCCAGGAGTTTATAATGAGATTGGAAATTCTAGAGAAATTCTTAAAATTACTTTAAGTCGACTAAAACAATCCAGATGACTAAAACTAAATCAAAATGTGTTGTCAAACATCAACAATGATTCTCAGCCTTAAACTAAAAGCTAACATTTTATTTTTTTCCCTCTAAAAGCGAATAGTGGTCACCAGGTTAGACAGGTGGCATACAATGTCACCGTCACCAAGTGTCATACTTTGAATAATCGGTCATGAGGGGGGTAAATAACAAAAATGAACCCCTTAGGGTGAAAATCAAGTCTGTAGTGCTGTTTGATTTTCATTATAAGGGGGTTAATTTTCTATAAAAATGATAGTATATATAAAAAATAAAAATAAATGATACTGTTTGTTCTTTGGGATATTACCAAAAAGCTCTGGGACTCTGGTGTTATACCTGCGAGCAAGATTTCAGTTGGCTTGTATTTTATTTATATCAGTGGTTACTGTTCATTATCCGATACCTCAGTACTGAGGCATCCACTAAAGAGTTAAGCTTTTACAGACACCCAATCCCTTTAAGGTATTGGGAGTCTGACAGGGATAGCAGTACGGCATTACAGAGCACCAAATTGCTGCTCACGTACAGTGTATGTCTCCCATCACTAAGGGGTTAAGGAGTGCTTTACAAAACAATCCAACATAAAAAAAAAAAAAGCTACATTGGTTGCCAGTTTAGAATGCCATTCCGGTTTTAATTGGCGTCTATGTAGAGACTTCACTTCCTTTTCTGGTGACCACAAAAGGGAGAGATGAGAATATCTCCAACTGGCACTAAAAAGCCAACATATCTGCTAAACCTTCCCCCTTCGAATAAAAAGGGTCTTTTTGCGGTGTGCCTGCTGGACAGATTCTGAGCCCTTCATGTCCTTGACACAGACAGCAATACACTGTCCTTTGGATGTGTATAAATAAGCACCCACCTGTCTCATTAGTGCAGTATGTTGAATCCTTTTAAACAACCTCTTGGCATTGAATCTTCTGACTGCTGCTTGCACACAGATTATCTGCCTTCGTGCCTTCAGGAAAGCAGCTCTCTGGTGTTTCATAGTAATGAGTGATTTGTACCATTGCTGAATGATCACTGCAGCTACTTTCTGCTTTTTATACATCTCCATAGCCTTTTGCATCCGATAAGAAGTCTGTAACTTTATGACACATGCTCTAAGCTGCAGAAACCGTTTCCGGCAGACAGCCATACGATAATAAGACTGGAGTACTCTTGCAGCTCTCTCCTTTTTAACACTTTGGCGTGCAACAAAACCTCTAAAAGCAGACTGAATTACAATAGCAGAGGTTCGTATGGACAAATATTGGATTCGTTGTAGATGGGCTTGGTGACATCTTCTGTACCAAGACTGTATATGGCAGGCAGATTCTACCATTATTTTGCATCTCTTTCTAGCCCTATGGCCTCTGAAGGCAGCCTGAAGGCACACCGCTGCAGACTTGGCCTTTATAAAAGCCTTTCTTTCCCGATACATCTTCCATGTAGTTTGGATAACCACCACAGCCTTGACTTCTCTTGACTTGATTGCACGGAACCTTCGTTGAATTAATATTGCCACTTTTCTAAGAACATTGTACTCCTTTACTGCCTCATTCCTTAAAAGCGTTGCTCTAAAATGCAACTGAATTGATCTTGTTGCGCGTCGTAAATCCAGGTAAGATTTTCTTTGCCTGTGCATACGATAATAGGCCTGAATTACGGTAGCTGCACCATGCATTTTTCTTGTTTTTCTTCGACTCTTCATGCCTCTGTATGAGGCCTGAAGAACAACAGCAACATTTTGAAGTCTTAGGTAGCACTCTCGTTCACGGAGCACATATGTTTGATAAAGGGAATAATTCTTTTGTAGAACAGTTGGTGTCCTTTGACCTGAATAGGTTTGTAGTTTGTACATTCTCATCATGAGCTGAATTTCAGTTGTGGCTTGGTATTTTTGCACAAGTCTTTGCCTCACTTTGTACCCTCTATAAGCAGACTGGATGGAAACCACAGCTTTGCGACATGTGAGGAAATTCAAGCGTTGAGATCTGGCTAGAACTGAAGCTCTGTACCTTCTCTGAAGGCATAACGCTGCAGATTTAAGTTTCAAATACACCTTCCTTTTCAGATAGCCTCTAAGAAATCTTTGGATAGCTGTTGCTGCATGGTGCATTCCTTGAAGCCGTCTTCTAACTTTCATCCCCCTAAAAGCGGCTTGTAGCAGTACTGTTGAATTTTTAGCAGCTTGGTACCAACACAGATCTCGCTCTCCCACCTTTTTAGCTCTGTATCTCTGCTGGAGAGTTTGGGTGGCTTTAAGCAAGCTTTTGTAGTATTTCTTCTGAATGTACATTTGATAGTTGGACTGTATGATGGTAGCTGCCCTAATCATAACTTTCATGTTTTTGCGTACTGTCATTCCTTTGTAACCTGCCTGGATAACTACAGCTGCCCTTCGAAGCCTCAGAAACGATGCCCGTGCATACCTGCTGTCTTTTGTTGACCTGTACCATGCCTGAATCTTTCTAGCTGCATCCTGTTGGGATCTATATAAAACCAATGCCTTATAATTTCTGAAAGCAGATTGTATTCTGAAGACAATTGCATGTTTCAAGGCAAGATCTTTTCTCACTTTAAATCCCCTGTATGAAGCTTGAACACAAACTACAGCTTTTCGTAGAGACCGGTATCGATCACAATAACGATGCATCAAAACTGTAGCTCGGTAACGTCTCTGGATACAAAGTGCTGATGATCTTAGTAAGAGGTACTGTTTGCGCTCACGATATGCCCTGAATTGTCTCTGTATAACAGTGGCAGCTCCAGTCATGGTTCTTAACTCTTTTCGAACATGCCAACCACGATAAGCAGCTTGAATGAGGAGAGTAGAGTCCCTAATAAAAGAGTACCGTAACAAATCAAAGTCTCTTTGCTTGTTTGCTCTGTATCTCTGCTGAATCACACAGACTGCCCATAGGAACTTTTTATAATGGTGTCTACACTGGTGCATCCTGAATGTGGCTTGGATTGTGAAAGCGGCTTTGTTCATTTGACTTATGCTCCTCCTTACTTTAGCACCACGATATGCCCTGAATTGTCTTTGTATAACAGTGGCAGCTCCAGTCATGGTTCGTAGCTCTTTTCGAACATGCCAGCCACGATAAGCAGCTTGAATGAGGAGAGTAGAGTCCCTAATAAAAGAGTACCGTAACAAATCAAAGTCTCTTTGCTTGTTTGCTCTGTATCTCTGCTGAATCACACAGACTGCCCATAGGAACTTTTTATAATTGTGTCTACACTGGTGCATCCTGAATGTGGCTTGGATTGTGAAAGCGGCTTTGTTCATTTGACTTATGCTCCTCCTTACTTTAGCACCACGATATGCAGACTGAATTATTACTGCCGATTTCTTCTTCTTCAGGAATGTTTCCCTTTCATGAGCAGAAATTTTAAATGCTCTGTAGCATTGCTGTATGGTAATTGCCGATTGCTTCAACTTTTGATAAGCAACACGCTCTTTGTGCATTCTAAAAGCTGCCTGGATGACAGTGGCAGAGAAATGCATTTGTCGAAGTTTCTGTCTGTCTTGAAAACCCCTGAAAGTTGCTTGTAGCAGTACTGCTGAATTTGTAGCAGCTCGGTGCCAACACAGATCTTGCTCTCTAGCTTTTTTAGCTCTGTATCTCTGCTGGAGAGTTTGGGTGGCTTTCAGCAAACTTTTGTAGTATTTCTTCTGAATGTACATTCGATAGTTGGACTGTATTAAGGTAGCTGCCCTAATCATAACTTTCATGTTTTTGCGTACTGTCATTCCTTTGTAACCTGCCTGGATAACTACAGCTGCCCTTCGAAGCCTCAGAAACGATGCCCGTGCATACCTGCTGTCTTTTGTTGACCTGTACCAAGCCTGAATCTTTCTGGCTGCATCCTGTTGGGATCTATATAAAACCAAAGCCCTATAATTTCTGAAAGCAGACTGTATTCTGAGGGCCATTGCATGTTTCAGGGCAAGATCTTTTCTCACTTTAAACCCCCTGTATGAAGCTTGAACACAAACTACAGCTTTTCGTAGAGACAGGTATTGATCCCAATAACGATGCAGCAATACAGTAGCTCGGTAACGTCTCTGGATGCAAAGTGCTGATGATCTTAGTAAGAGGTACTGTTTGCGCTCACGATATGCCCTGAATTGTCTTTGTATAACAGTGGCAGCTCTGGTCATGGTTCTTAACTCTTTTCGAACATGCCAACCACGATAAGCAGCTTGAATGAGGAGAGTAGAGTCCCTAATAAAAGAGTACCGTAACAAATCAAAGTCTCTTTGCTTGTTTGCTCTGTATCTCTGCTGAATCACACAGACTGCCCATAGAAACTTTTTATAATGGTTTCTACACTGGTACATCCTGAAAGTGGCTTGGATTGTGAAAGCGGCTTCGTTCATTTGACTTATGCTCCTCCTTACTTTAGCACCACGATATGCAGACTGAATTATTACTGCCGATTTCTTCTTCTTCAGGAATGTTTCCCTTTCATGAGCAGAAATTTTAAATGCTCTGTAGCATTGCTGTATGGTAATTGCCGATTGCTTCAACTTTTGATAAGCAACACGCTCTTTGTGCATTCTAAAAGCTCCCTGGAGGACGGTGGCAGAGGAATGCATTTGTCGAAGTTTCCGTCGGTCTTGAAAACCCCTGAAAGCTGCTTGTAATACAAGAGCAGCTCTCCGAGCCCTTAGGTAATCCTGCCTGTGACGATCACCAAGCTTTTTCGATTTAAACCTCCTCTGAATACATACTGTAGCTTTTTGCAGAGCAAGAAACCTGCGTCTTGCCAAAAAGGACTTAAATGTTTTTTGAATGACAACAGCAGCTTGACGCTTTCCCCTAAATTCACGCTGTACTTTTGCTGCACGGAAAGCTGATTGAATGCACAAGACTGCCTTTCTTGTGTTATTGAAAATCAGCAACTGTTTCTTCTGCTCTCGAGAGGCACGGTAACATTGTTGAACTCTTACTGTGGCCTTTTTAAGATTTTTAAAAGCCTGCTGTTGCTTGACCATTCGGTACCAAGCCTGGACTACCTTTGCAGCGGCATGCATTCGACGCATCTGCTCCCTTGCTTTCTTGCCTCGCCAGGCAGACTGCAGGGTGCAGGCAGCATTCTTGAGTGCCAAATACTGTTGCTTTTGGTTCCTGCTTTCCCTCCTTGCCCTATAGTGCTTCTGGATTAACACAGCTGCCTTTTTCATTTTCTGATATTGTGCATGCTGCTTCTGCATTTTAAACACCGACTGCAACAAAGTTGCAGACCTTTGCATCTGGACTATCCTTTGCCTTGTTCTCATACCTCTGTAAACAGACTGCAGTTTAATGGTATTGTTTCTCAAAATAAGATACTGCTCTCTATGCAGCTTAGCAGCAACTACAGCACGGTATTGTCTCTGAATTAGGATGGTTGCCATTCTCAGACTGAGGTATTCTTTTCTGATTCTGAAAGAGCGATATGAGGCCTGTATCGTACAAGCTGCATTGTGAAGATGCATTAAATGTTTTCTTATTTGCCATCCCCGGAAAGCAGCCTGAAGATGATTTGCTGCGGCTTTGACTTTTACATAATGCATTCGCTGTGCTTTACCAGCTACATATGCTCTGTAGTGACACTGAATGAGTATTGCAGCTTGTTTTGTGGTTTTGTACTTTGCGTAGCAGACGTACATTCTATAGTAAGACTGTACCAGCGTTGCCATTTTGTGCTGTCTCTGAACCTCTTGCCTCACTCTTTTACCCCTCCAGGTGGCTTGCACTTTTCTTATGAGCAAACATATGTTAAGATATTTTTGCCTCTCCTTCCTGCCCATAAGCACAGCGTGATAATTCCTCTGTATGATCAGCGTAGCCATCTTAACTTCTTTGAATCTTCTTTGAGCACTACATTTCCTAAAGGCTGATTGGATAGTGACTGCAGCCATTGTCCATTTGTGGAGTTGCTTTCTCATTAACCATCCACGGTATGTGGCTTGTATGGTAGAAACGGCTCTCTTCATTTTCCAAAAGTGTTCCACATCTCCCTTCAGTTGCTTCTGTCCTCTGTACCATCGTTGAATAGACATGGCAGACTGTCTCATGCGAAGATAACGCTTTCTTACCATATAGCATCGGAAAGTGGTTTGTATGGATAGGGCTGCAACATGCTGAATTTGTATTTGTTTACGACTGATGTAACCTCTGCAGGCTGCTTGTATACGTACAGCAGAGCATTGCATGAGCAAGAAGCGTTCTCTGTGATAGGCAGCAAGCTTGTATGCTCGAAAGTGCTCCTGTATAATAACTACAGCTCTTTGTATTCTAAGATATTTCCTTCTTGTCATATGCATTCTGTAGTTGGCTTGTAATGTTGTTGCAGCTTTGTGCCAGAGTTTGATTTGTTTTCTGGCCAAGTGGCCTTTGATTTTAGACTGAATTTTAACACAAGCTGCCCGCATCTGGAGAAAAGACTTACGTTCTGTGCACATTAATAGGTTAGCACGAAACAAAGTTTGGACAAAGATCACTTTTTCTCTTTGCACAAGATAATGTATTCTCTTTTGCCTCATTCTAACCAGAGACTGTATCTTTACTGCTGCTGCTCGCAAAGAAAGGTATTTGCGTCTCTCTCTGGACATTCGATAAAAGGACTGAATAAAAGTGGCTGCTTTTCCTTTAGTTTCCAATTTATAATTTTGCCATTTCCTGTAAGCCTTCTGAAGCACCAATACAGCACTGGTCTCTCGTTTTAGCTTTTTACATCGCCATCTCCTAAAAGCGGACTGTATGGTAAGAGCAGCACATTTGAACTGTAGAAAGTTTTGACGATCTTTCTTAGCCAACATCCAAGAGCGCACATGCCTCTGGAGAGTTGCTGTTGCATAAGTGGTCTTTTTGTAAGCCAAAACCGCCATCTTTGTTCTCATTCTTGCTTGCAGAAGAACAACACATTTTCTTAACTTTATGTAGTATTTTCTGGCTGCAAAACCTCTCCAAATTCTCTGTAAAACAAAAGCACACTTGTTAGTTATAACATTGTAACACGCACACGGTATTTCATGTGAACATATTGTGAAAAAGAGGAAAAGAAATATATTAATCCCATGTCTAATGGACACACCTGGATGACAATAGCTGCAGAGGACTCAATTTCCTTTTGTCTGAGCAGCTTTAATTTCAATAGTTCCTTGTATGCCAAGTATCTTCTCCAGTGTTTCTGGATTACTACTGCAGAGGTTGTCATCTTCAGAACCCAACGTCGTGACAGGAACTTGCGGACCGCGATCTGGATAACAGAGGCAGCCTTGTGCTTTTTCTGCAAATCGAAAAATGCACAATTAAGTTAGACATAAAATCGGAACAGAATACTCTCTCCGTCTGTAATGCTGTCAACAAATTCAAGCATGCAATAGTTTCAATATCCATTTAAAAAAAACCAATTGGAATTCATGGATAGCAGAGAAAGAAATGAAGACCAAAAACACTCATACCAAATGAACACTCAACAAAATAAAGCCATACGGATTTGTCTTCCAAGAACTGACCTGCAATAGCTGCTCTTCTGCTGTCACTTTGTACTTTCTCCATGCTGCCTGGATTACTCTCGCAGCTCTAGCCTCCTTACGAATGTCCAAAAGCCGAGCACAGAGGAAGGAAAGGAAAGTGATGACAATCTGTAAGACAAAAAAAAAACGGTTTTAAATTTTGATGGTCTTGAACAGATTTTTTATTTTTTTTAATCAATATAAAACTCTTAAAATGAAAAAGGCACAAGGTATAGATCTACTTCAACTGGATTAGTTTACCGATTGGTAAGTTGTTATGAAAGGGAAATGGTCAGCCATTTTTAAAGTAAAAGTTGTCTAAAACAGGCACAAAATACTACCAATGATCTTTGTTAGCCTAATTTGAACATCCCTCTGATTCTCACTGCATTAGGGTTAAAGAGAGGCTCAAGTTCCCCGATTTTTAAGCAAACTCCATCCTATCCAAAGATGAAGTCAAAAAAACAGCATGTTCACTAGCTATAGGAATGGCTACATTGTGCTTAGCACACATTAGGAAAGTTGAGCACTTCGTTTAACCCCTTCATGACTGAGGCCCTTTTTTCCATTTTTGCACCCATGTTATATTCCACATTTTAGGCCTGAAAATGACGTAAAACTCCCCAACATTATATATTTTCTGAATGCCAAGACCCTATAGAATAAAATGGTGGTAGTTGAAAATGTTTATGTTGCGCAATATTAGCGCAACTCCTTATTAAACCCCAAAATTTTGTGACAAATTTAATTAAATGCCCCAAAACACAACAAATTACCCATTTTTTTAATGAAATATAAAAGATGAGGTTACAACGAGTAAAACGATACCCAACATGCCCAGTTTACAGATTGCGTGCGACCGTGAAACGGCGAAAAACTGCAGTACCCCAAAAAAAAAATCAATAAAAGACACTTTAAAAGCCCCCACAGGTCATCAATTTAGAGATACCCCAAAATACTGGCCCTAGAATTATTGCTCTCACTCAGGCGTGCGCGGCGATACCCAACATGTGTAGCGCGTTCGTCGTTTTCATGCGTAGGCGCACCCGACGCGTGTTTACGTGGCGACGCGCGTGCTCGCGGGGGCGGGGTACTTTTAAATTTTTTTTTATTATTATTAGATTTATTTTATTTCATTTTAATTTTAAAAACTGTTTTTTTTT